CCTGCTGGGCCAACCCTTGTGACAGGCAGACAGGGCGGCAGCTGCAGGGGGCAGTGACAGGCGGGTGGGTGTGGACGGCAGGGGGGCAGCTGCAGAGTGGGCAGTGACAGGCGGGTGGGCGTGGCAGGACCCCTCGATGTCTCCTTCTGTGGCTTCTCCTGGTGCCCCTTCCTATGGGCCATGCTTCCAGCTCACCTGCGGCCCACCCTCCAAGGAGTGGGACCCTCTGAAGAGCTGGGAGCCCTTGGCGGCAGGGGGCTGTACTGTGTGACAGAGCCGTCACCAGGACCCCAACCCACCCTGGCTCCTGCCGTGGCCCAGCTTCCATCTGTGCTGCCATTGCAGTAGTCCGGTTTCTAGGAAGCAAAACTGTTACTGAGTTACGAAGCTCAATTCAGAGTGTCCTTTGGGAGCCAAGGCGGGCAGATCACAAGGTCAGGAGAGCGAGACCAGCCTGGCCAACATGGTGAAACTCTGTCTCAACGAAAATACAAAAAATTAGCCAGGTGTGGTGGCGGATGCCTGTAGTCCCAGCTACTCGGGAGGCTGAGGCAGGGGAATCGCTTGAACCCGGGAGGCAGAGGTTGCAGCGAGCTGAGATTGGGCTACTGTGCTCCAGCCTGGTGACAGACCAAGACTCCGTGTCAAAAAAAAAAAAAAAAAAAGTGTCCTAACTGTGTGCTCCAAAGCTCTCACTAGCTGGTGACAGACTGGAGGGTGCTGTGCTCCCACCCCCTACCGCCCCGAGCCTGGACATGTGGCCCCTGCAGGGCCCTGCCCCAGCTCTGTGAACCCACGGCTTCTCTCCAGGGAAGGGCGGAGGTGCGCCACCTCCATGGGGAGATGGGGAGGCCCAACTCCAGGGATCCTGGTCATCGTCCTGACATTGAGGTTGGCTGACACCCCCCTGTCCTCTCTGTCCCAGGGAAATTCAACTACTGAGGAGGTTACGGCACAAAAATGTCATCCAGCTGGTGGACGTGTTATACAACGAAGAAAAGCAGAAAATATATCCTTTCTGGTGTTGGGGCCGCGGGGCCTCCGTGGGAGGGGCTGGGGCCCTGGGTCCGCCTGCCCCGAGGCCTGCTCCCCTTCCTGTCTACTTGAAGGAGACTGGCACACGAGGGCAGTGGCCTTCCCTGGCTTGCTGGAAGTCAACCATTGTGGCAGTGGCTGAGCAGCTTGCTGAAACAGGCCCCAAGCCCCGGCCCCTGTGTCCTGTGTCCTGGAGCCGTGTGGTGTCAAGACCCTATTTTCTCATAGTCTTCTCCAAGGCTAAGCGGGGTGTGGCCAGGGTCTGCCTGAGGCAGGCCACGCAGGCTGAATGTTGTGGGCCATTTTGGTCGTGGCTGAGCGTGTCCTTGTGTCATCGGTAGACTCCCCCCATGGGTCTTACGGGCACAGCTTCCCTACGGGGACTTTGCTTGAGGCCCTGTGCCCAGAGCAAGAGCAGAAGTGGTCCTGAGGCTGGGGCTGTGTTCAGAGTCACGCAGTCAGGGGCCGTGGGCCCCATCCTGTGTGGACCCGAGCCTGCTTGTGGGGGCGTCCAGGAGGTATCATCCGCCGCCCATGGGCGGGTGGGGGACGCGAGTCCTGCAGGAACACTGCCCCAGAGTCAGCCCTGTCCTCCACTCCCATGGAGGCTCCTTCCTCCCAGACGCTGGGGCCTTTTCAGAGGGGTGTGAGGGCAGGGTGGGCCTGGTCCGAAGAGGGGCCGGGTGGTTGCGGAGGGTCCCTCCAGAACCCCTTCTCTGGCCCCTGTGCTCCCTGGGCCTGTGAGTGGGGCCGCCCCCTGAGCTGTGTGTCCTTAGCATCCCACGTATATGGTGATGGAGTACTGCGTGTGTGGCATGCAGGAGATGCTGGACAGCGTGCCAGAGAAGCGTTTCCCGGTGTGCCAGGCCCACGGGTGTGTGCGCGGGGCAGGGGCTGGGGTGAAGCAGGGGCTGGGGGCCGGGCAGGGCAGGCTCCTTTCCCTGTGGCCACACGGCTTGTCCTGATCTTCATTGACATGAAGGCCCAAGTTTTTAATTTTTTTGTTTTATTTTTTTGAGACGGAGTCTCGCTCTGTCGCCCAGGCTGGGGTGCAGTGGCCGGATCTCAGCTCACTGCAAGCTCCGCCTCCTGGGTTTACGCCATTCTCCTACCTCAGCCTCCTGAGTAGCTGGGACTACAGGCGCCACCTCGCCCGGCTAGTTTTTTTGTATTTTTTAGTAGAGACGGGGTTTCACCGTGTTATGATCT